CCCCCCCCCCCCCATGGAACAAATAAAACAGCGGAAGCTTTTGCATTTGAACAGTGAACTCTATAAGGTCTCTCAGTTCATTCAAGTAAAAATATTTCTGCTTCAACCTGTCCTCTCCTCCCCCTGAGGCAAAAGCCCTTAATGCATCTGTATTCCAAATAATTTGGAATGCCTTAATGGTGTATGTAAGCAGCATTTCACATGGAAGTGCTCACCAGTAATAGAGGTAGTGCTGTGAATTCGGAGGCTGGACAGGTCCTGACTCCCAGGTGCATTCCAAGTACTCCTTACCATAGTAGACACAGTGAAAATCTCTTATTCCTGATCCAGCCACACCTGAGACAGGCGATAACATGTTTAGTTTGATAACAATTAGTTAAATGACAACAATCAAAATAGTAACTGTAATTGTATTTTTATTGAATATTATGATATGCTATATTATAGAAGGATGGATAACACTAGAATGGCAGTTCTGCTTAGAAATGAATGATGCAACTTGGTTTCCTCAAACTAATCAATTAAAATTGCAGTTACGGTATTACCAAATTTCAGGTAACATGTAATCCAACACACAGTTAGGCCTATATTGAGATTTATTTGATCAATTTCATAGAAAGACTCAATCTAAATCGTGCATCAGCTGGTTCAATCCTCAAAAGCACTTTCCTTGAAAACAGGACATTAAAATTATGAAAATGTTTGTGCAATAGATTCCAGATGGGTGTGTGTTTAGACTAGCATGTTCCTATTTTTTTTTTTTCAGATCCTTTTTGTATTTTGCTTATGCAATAAACTTCAGATTAAAAAGGCAGGGAACAGATAAGCAGAAAATATTCACATGTGTCAATGCAGGTGGTTACACAAATTTATACGTCTGAAAGTCCAAAGAATTACGCCACAAGAATTAAGCCAACGTATTCACATTTACGCAAGTACTTACAGTACATTTGCGTCTGCAATTGCTGTCTGACTGATGTTTTTGTTCCTATTTTGTTATTTTCAACATCTGGTGCTTACAATCAGATAATCGCAAAAAAGCACACATTTATAGTTACCAGCATGATTGTGGAAATATCAATAACAGGAATTACAGAGATTAGTAACTCGACTGGTCATGTGATCTCCAAACACAATGAGATGACCTTCTATATGTAAAAAAAAAAAAAAGACTGCTTTTATTACTACTTACTGTATTAGTCTTCATTTCCTGAGTGATTGTTTTTAACATTTTTCAAAAGTAACCATTTTTAGAGGTAAAATAAATGTGATTAAATTACTGAGTGCATATTTAAGAGAGGCAACTAAGCAATGTAAGAAATAAAATTAGGGCTTCATTTGGATTCCTCGCAATCACAATATACTATGTATGGTTGATCTTTGCTCTTGTTCGCTTCAGTGGGGTTGAATAGGTTTTAAATCTTTACCTGTAGGTTCACGTGTGTAGACCCACTCTGTCTCCTCCCCTTGAACCTCTGTCCCATTGGTGCAGGCACACTTCAGCACAGTGAGTATTCTCACCTTGACTGGTTTCTCAAGGTCAAACTGAGCAGCATAAGTCAGCTTGACAGTTCGGACACTCTGTACAACACAAAAAGAGGGCAATTTTGAGTCATAAATCTCTACGTTTGTAAGAATAATGGCATAATATAAATATATATAAGGCATGAAAAGTGGCTTCATTTTGAAGATGCCGTAGAACAAATACGTGTGTCTGAATACTAAGTACATCACCCGCAGGGAGTTGTTCTCTCTGAGGGGTTGCATTAAATGAAACACAGTTTTTGGCTCTGACTTAAAGGAGTTCCCTAGAACTGACTTAAGTTTACCAAGTGGTTGTGTGGGGACATTTACTGAACCATGATTTATGTAGAGATACAAATACATATTTACTGAATTGGCTCTAAAACATTTTTTTTTTAAGATTAAACCACTTAATGTTATTTACAAATTCAGTTAGCTTTCACATACATTTGGCTGATAATGAGCCATCACAAAAATGGTGAAATATTAGAGCAGTTTTCTCCAGCAGGATTGAGCACAGCTTTAGTAATGTGGTCTCAGAGAAATTTCAGAAAAAATTACCACAAAACAAACAGAATTCTTCATAGCATGGTTATCTCAAAACATTTCTGAGTGTAGCATAAAATACACTGACGTTTTGTGGTTTGTGAAATGAGCCTGAGAAATTAATGCTTATGTGCTGACAACAAATGAGACTGTGTGTGTGTGTGTGGTGTGTTCTGCGAGTTCTCGAGGATTCCTACCCTCCACCGTTCCTCGTAGGTGTCATAGTATCTGAGTTGGTATCGTACTGTGCAGCCTGTAAGGTTCTGAAGGCTGGCTGGCCGAGTCCAGTGGATACTGAGGTAACCCAGGAAGCCAGGGTCTGTTATCTCAATATTAGCAGGTGGGTCCACTGTGGGAAATCAACACCGTATGTCTATGAACAATGTTAATGGCACTAACAACTCTTGGCTTGAAGACAGACCAAGCATGTGCATTAAACATCCAGCTGTAATTCTAAACTCAATCTAATCCCATGAGTCAAAATGTTTGTGCGTGTATGAAGGTAACAGTTGTGAAATCCAGTGAACTCCGCCAAATTCTTAGTAATCTGTGACACAAAGTCATGCTAAAAACCTCTGTCTGTCTTAAGCTATAAAGGAAATGATGTCAAAAGGAAACATAAACGGTGTCAAAATGTTAAAGACAATAGAGACTCCTAACTATTTGCTTAGTATTGGATACACTCTAAAAAAAGATGGTTCTTTACACATAGTAATAGTTCTATTTATAGTCATATCATTTTAAACAACCGTTTTATGCTAAAATGGTTCTTTGTGTTAAGCGTTTAGGGTTGTTTATACCCACCTTTTTTTAACCTTTTTAAATCTGTAACTGTCAAAAAAGTCTCTCAAAGCCACCTCATTATTGATTTGGGAACTCAGCCATCCAACTCTCAACACGTACTTGAAATTCTTCTTAAATGTCCATAAATTTTACATTTCAAATTGTAACTGATTTTCTACCAGTTTTTCTCTTTTCAGGTTTTTTTTTTTTTTACCAGAACATGTGTAATCAGCTGTAACCATCTTAGTTGAGGATATTTCTCTCCTCTTCTCCACTAAGCAAGTAAGTGACAGAGATTTTGAATTTATGATCCATATTCTTATCAAGATTTCAATGATCAGCTTTTGCTTTTTGCATTGTGAAGGGCTCACATACTGTCCATGTTAGCCTTCATAAACTTAATTGCTTTTACTTAAACAAATCAAAGAGACACACTGTGACTCTAGACTCATTTGTATCTTTCTAGCCGGACTGATGCTGTCACGTTCCACAACCTCATCAACTGCAGAGAGAAACTGCCACTCAATTACCAAAATACACATATTAGGATTGACGTAAAGACATCACAGATGACTGTGAAGATATTTCACTGGAACTTGGCCTTCATTACATTTATTTTGTGTTTTATTTCTTTATGTATGTATTCATGTTCAGTGTCAATTATCAATTATTAATGTAACTAAATATTAAGGTATTTTTACTACAATTTCTAATGGCAATAAAAAAGTAAACGTACCTAATTGACATTTTATTAAATGTAAAAAAGTAAGTATAAGACCAGGTAGAAAAAGGGGCAAAAGACATAATATAAATAAATTATATATAAACTGATAAGAATAAAAAAAAATAATTAAAATTATTAAAAGATTCTTTACAGCACTCACTTTCAAAGCATGGCTCATTATATGGAACTTATAAAAAGGGTTATATTTAACAGTTCTACTTAAGAATCTATTAGAGTTTAGATCACAGTCATGTTAATGCAAATGCTGTTTGTCTTGTATATTATGTGACTCTCTTTGTACTCTGCAGAATGAGCAGAAGTCTAGAACTGTGCCAATTTATATATATATATATATATAATTTCAGTGGAATTAGCCAGGAAGCTTACCCGCCACTCCACAGGCCATGACCTCTGATGTAGAGACAGGCTCTTGAGTCAGCAAAAGCAGAGTGAATGCAGAGAGCCATGCAGGAAACTTATTCAGCAGCAACATGTTCTCCTGAAGGGTTATTATCAGTGTCTAGAGAGGAATAAAGCATTAAACATTTACATCAGTTGTCTCTCTTCGCGCTTGTTTTTGCTACCTTTAGGGTGATGTAATATAGCAATGATCTGCAATCATGATAAAATAGTACATTGTCTTTAAAAAGGGAGGTGTTTAGATCACCTACGCTGTCGCCAATCTTTTTTCCCCATGAGGTTGGAAAATGAATAACTGCATGAGGTGTGGCTCCTTTATTTTCCTAGATCAGTTTGGTATAGCCTGCTTAGTATCAGCTCTTTGGCATCTTAACCTTAAAACAGCTGCATCACTGTGTATTTGATTAGTCCTTCGCCTTAAAGAGACAGTTCATTAAAAAAATGAATATTCTGTCATTATTTACGCAGAACATGAAAGAAGGTATTTTGAAAAATATTGGTAACCAAACAGTTTGACGTCCATTAAATGGACAGAGAAATATATTTTTTCAGATAATCGTCTTTAATATTGCATGCACGAAAGTAATACAGGTTTGGAACAACATGAGGGTGAGTAAATGATTCGGTGAACTATCCCCTTAACACATTCCCAAATCTGATTTTATACACAAATATATTTTAAAAAATAGAAAGAAAGGAATTTGCAAACCATATAAATTCAGCATATAAATGGAACATACATTAAAAAACAAATGTTAATATTTTGTTAGAATCTAATGATGTTACATAAACAGAATGTTTTATTTTTTTATATAATATTAAAAATACACAAATATTACATTACATTTTCAGTATGTTCAAAATGTTTAAGACATTAAATAAATCTTTATATAGACTTTTTTTAAGATATATATATATATATATACACACACACACACACACACATTAAAACATTTACCTTATAATGTGTTAATTATATTGTATAATAAAAGCTGCTATTTTGATAAACTTTTCTCAAATATTCATACATGTTGATATCTGCACACACAAAAACAAATATACAGTTATAGATTGGAAAATGATCCACTCAGTTAATCTAATTTCAACCTATACATAAAGCAGATCTGAAGATGTGCTGAGAAAGAAGGCAGGCAAAATATCCACACGATGAAGATATAAAGCTACTACAGCACAAAAGAACAGGGTAAACAAGTACACTTACTGTCACTGCTCTGTAATAGAAAGATCCTGATAGTATGAGCCCATATAGGTGCCTCAGGATGGTCTGAATGAACTTCTCAATGTTCTCGAATTTTGTTGGATACAGCACCCTCTTATGTGACTCGTTGCGTATTTCAGCATAATTCACTGCCTACCTAGTATATAGTTACAGGATTTTTCTTGAACAGCATACACCTCACACTGTCAAGATAATGAATTCCATTGAATGTTTTAATTAATACTTGTGATTTTGTCATTAAGTGTGAACTGTTTAACTGATCCTGTTTGCAAATGTTTGTTATAAAGCAATCGTGTAATTCGATTGTTCCGTGTGTGTGTGTGCGTGTGCGTCATGCTCTGTAAATCAGCACTGTTAGGCTATTGTGTTTACTTTGGCTTACTCTGAAATACGGCCACTTTAAGACAACAAGAAAAACACATCGTCTTTCAAAGACTTCATACAAACCTATTTGCAAGTGGAATGTTTATGTTGAACATGTTTATGTTTATGTTGGAATGTTTATGTTGAGTCCTTTCAGTTCCCACAAGTACAAACATTTCTTTCTTTCTTTTTTTTCAGCTTAAAATGTTCCCTCTGGGTTTTATGCTGATGGGAAATAGCATGTTTGCAATTACCTTTTAAAAAAAAAAAATGACAGAAAATTGACAAAGAAATAACTCGGATCATCAGTTAAACAGTGTAGCCTTCTAGAATATATAGGCTATATAAGACCGCACGTTTATAGCATTTATAAACGAATAGACCAAGAAGCATGCACTTATTTCTGTTTTACTCTTTCTTTCATTAAAAAAAACTTAATAATACGCAGTACATGTAACAGTACACACACACACACACACACACACATATATATATATATATATATATATATGATTGCAGTAACAAACCTTCTCATGATCATTAAAATTCAAGTAAATGGTTTCATATCTCATAAATATGTCTCTGATAAATACAAACTTTATTGGACAAGGGTTTAAATGACTCTTTCAAGTTATGCTACACTGATTTCAGAAAAATAATAGTTGCAAACAACATCAAATTAAGTGTCTGCTAATTTTTGTTCACAAGTGTAGCTTGAGAGAGCAGAACCCTTCCTTCCTGACCCCCTGTCTTGGGTGACTCTCTGGAAGAGAGACAATTGCTTTCTTTGGAAAAGGATTCATACTTCAATAATAATGTAGCGGACGTCGAATGGTCACATCTCATACTAATATTTTTAAGCATTGCTTATTTTAGTTTGACACTTAGAGAGTGTCATGAAGAATTGTGTTCCTGCAGCGAAGAAGCACAAAGCAAATGACAAAGACACAATGAACACTGTAAATGGTCAGTTTATTCCAGTATTTTGACCTTTGAAATGTTTCGGTTTGTTGCCTTTTTAGGAAACATCCTAATGTGTTGAAACAGATTATGTACATGAATGATGGTATGATCCAGACATGCAATCAAGTTGTCATACAAAAACATTTATACATACAGTACGCATTGGTAGGAGGCATCTCCTGTCTTTTACTTTTGAATTAACATTTCTTTTTACAAACTGAACAGCTTCTCACCAACAGGAATGTGAGTCAGAGCTGATGAGTGATTATTTCAAAGCTTTGTCAAGATGGAGTTTGATTGGGAAAGGGGGGGAACATGAGAATGGATTTCATTAAAATAAGATACTCCTCTCATTGAACAGTGTAAATGTGCATACTCAGTACCAGGTGTCTACTTTTTTCCCACATTGCAGTAAGTGTCATGAATCCCGGTTCAGTACAAAATTAAGGTCAATTTGAGGCCTTATGACAATGATTATCTCTGCTACAGTTCAATCATTATTCTTGCATACTGAGTACTATAGCATATTATTAAACAGTAGCATGCAGTATGCAGTCTAGGCCTTGAAGCAGGTGACCTATTTCAGGAGTTTTGCAAAGTGATGGCAGTGGAAGCGTACGAGTGACAAATGACTAATTGGGAAATTGTGTCATAAATATAAAGCTAAACAGACAGAAACAGCTAAATTAGAGGGTGTAACTGAGTGAAAGTAAAACAAAAGCATTTTTTTAACAGGACCTGTGACCTTTAGAAAACCTATATTCTTGGCTGAGATTGTGTCAAGGAGGCAATAAAGCCTGAGGAAATGCTGTCACCAATCCATCCATCACAAAGCTCTGGAACTGAACCAGACGTATCTGCTATGGTGTGTGAAGTATGATAGGGGAGTGAGACATTACTCATCACTGCAAACCTGGGTCCTAAAACTCCTTTCCACAGAAAAGGTGTCAACAGCTGCTCCTGCTGCCAGTTGAGTATACAATTACTTTTTGAGAGGCATAAATCAATGAACATTTTCTCTTCAAAACACCATCAGGCAGGCTATCTTTCAAGATGTGCTGGAAGTGGTTAATTAGGCACAATTGCAATAAGAGAGACAAAAATACCTGTATTCTTCACTTGAATATATGGTGAACAGCCATGAACAGTAAAAGTGTTACCCTCCAATTACAATACTGATATACACACCATAAAGTGGCTTAAAGGGATAGCTCACCCAAAAATGAAAATTACCCCATGATTTACTCACCCTCAAGCCATCCTGGGTGTAAATATATTGAAGCCCCAAAAAGTGCTTCCATCCATCATAAAAAGTGCTCCACATGGCTCCAGGGGGTTAATAAAGGCCCTCAAAAGCGAAGCGATGCATTTGCATGAGAAAAATATCCATATTTAAAACTTTATAAACCGTAATCTCTAGCTTCTGCTAACTGTTGTACGCATGTTCAAGAGAGAGTGGCGTTCCAGTGGATGACGCAGGCATAGTGTAAACTCTGGTGAGAATATGTTAGTCTTGCCAGAACCAAATTTTGTTACAGCTAGGGATGGGCGTATCGATCCGAAATATCGATATATCGATACTGACGTGAGTATCGAAAGTATCGATACTCAAACAAAAAATATCGATACTAAGGTGCGTTTTATTTACCAGTGGTTTTGTTTATTTAACAAAAATAATAATAATAATAATGCGTACAATATGCATTGAATTGGACGAATAACCTTTGTTAGCGAGTAATTGTGTAGGATAGAACTATTTTCCTGCTCATCTGAACACACGCAAATGTTGCAAGACAGAACCAATCAATCACAGAGAGCATTCACTCACTGCTGACAGTGCATTCAAACAGGGCTGCGTTTCCCAAAAGTATCATAAAAAAGCATTAAAGCTTTTGGGAATGGCAGCCCTGAACAATGCTTATCAGAGAACAGAAATAAAAACATAAATGTTTGAGTTATTTCACAATAAACAAATTGAAATTGTAGCCTACATAGTTTGTGCAATTACAATTATTTAAATTGAACGTTGAAAGATAATATTGATCATGTTCTATTCTGTAATGTTAATAGAAATCATACACTGTCAGAATAAAAAGGTTGCATTTAATGCATGCAACAGCCATTCACTGGCAGTCCCAAAGGGTTACTAATGACACATCATTTGGATATTTTCATGTCTGGGAAAAATTTGGGATTAAACGGGTTAAAATGCGTTTTAAACAAAGTTAAGTGGTTTTCATAACCCATTTTACTCAGTAATTTAATAATTTAATAAATTTAATAATTTAAAAATATAGTGCAGAAGTATCAAATCGGTATCGATATCGACGATACTGCCTTGAAAAATATCGGTATCGTATCGAAAACAAAATAAGGGGTATCGCCCATCCCTAGTTACAGCAAAGGAAAACCAGTCTACTCTTGGATTATATCAAAATCCTCTAACATTTTTATTTACATATCCTCATTTTGTACTTCTAATTTGTGACAGGCGTTTTGTTTTGCTCTCTCCTCTGCTCTTCTGCGTTTGTCATTTTTCACTGGAGCTTACGCTACGCCAGGGGTGTCCAAAGTTGGTCCTGGAGGGCCGGTGTCCTGCAGAGTTTAGCTCCAACCCTAATTAAACACACCTGAACCAGCTAATCAAGGTCTTACTAGTCATGCAGAAACTTCCAGGCAGGTTTGTTGAGGCAAATTGGAGCTAAACTCTGCACTGTAAGAAACTGACTGTGGAATTCACAGTAATTAACTGGCAGCAAGTGACAAGTAACTTACTATAAAATAAAAATACA